CAGCAGATTCTTTTGTATTTGCCAGTAGAAGGGGGAAAGAGGTGATCTAAGTTAAACAATAAATAACTAGTTCAATCAGTGTGGTGTTCCTGTTTTTTCATTCTGGACTTCTGGTGTAATCATGCAATGATTTCTGTGAGGTCATGGTAGGACATCAGCATCTACTGCTCTGAATATTAGATCAAAATCAGATCAAATATAACCTACTTTAGTTTAAATTCATACTGTTGATTCAAATATATTAAAGCATCTTTAATGGTTTAACTTGCTTCTGGAAAGATTCACCTTTGATCAAGTATCCCCTGCTTGCATCACTCCAGGTTTGTGCTACATCAGGCACCCATCATATCAGCCAACAACATAAAGCCTCAAGAGAAGCAGAGAGCTAACATAAACCCCAGATTGCATGATCTGCCTACTTTGACAAAACATCTTTCAGTCCCACTACTGCTGGGCGGTCCATCGTACACCAGTCCAACATTCATAAGCAAATCATCAGTTCCTGAGCTATAAATCTGCATAACAAGAAAAGCAGGTACAAACCAGCATTCAGACAGCCAGTTGCATTCATGTCATCTTGGCATTCTTGCAGACAGCATCCAAACCTGATGTTTCTATCACTGATGAAGGTCTGCACTACAGAAGCCCTCTCTCCCCAAACCACCTCCCTCTGGTGTTCAAGTCCCTGACTGTTTCCTTCTTCTGACTTTATGTTAGTAATCTGAAGAGACACGTTATGTGATAATTTATTCGAGTGCAGTATTTTTGAAAGGTCATGGGTTATCTGAGGTGCACAAAGTACAAGTTACATACGTGAAAATACTGTAGTTCTGTTTATCAGATCTGACACATTAACTACTACTTGTTAAGTGCTCTTGCAACAGAGTTCCAAACACCTCTGCTTATACACATCAACTAATTTGCCAGTAAAATGCAGCTATCTTCAGAATGATAGCAGCCACACAAAACACTCTTTTGTGTCTCAGCTATAATTTAACAATATTTGTAAAGGCTGAGGTAAAGAAACAAACAGCGAGGCTGTAGGGAGTTGAGAGTTGAGTTTTTATCCTAGTACTGGACTCTCACTTTAAGGCAATTTACTCTTGCAGAGCTAGAATTATCAGAGTTAAAATTCAATGTGTCATTTAACAGATGACACTTCCTACTACTTTAAATATGCTGGATGGTTGCAACAGCCAATTTTTATAGTCATCTCACTGCCCATTCCTTGAGGCTGTCTATCCACTCACTAGTAAATAAACAAAACTAGAAGAAGCAGTTAGCTCAAACTGCCACAGTTCAGAAAGAAATGCCATAAATACGTTTTAGGGAAAGTCCAGAGGCCTGAAGTACTTTATCTGCAAAACCATCGAGAGAATTTGCTGTCCAGCTGGAGGTATGCGAACTGCTTTTAAAACCACTTTGTTTTGTTGCTTATGGTCCTCAGTGATCTCTATTGCTTGTCTGAACTGTCACTTTACTGCTTGATGACAAATTAAATCTTCTTAAAGGAGCTTTTCCCAAAGAATATGACAACAGACACATTGTCTCAATATGAAATAATATGGGAATAGCGTCGTTATTTTTCTAATATAAGTATCAGAAGAGATATGATCAACATTCATCCTTCTCAATTCTACTAGATGTATAGACATTTGGGAAGTGGGCACTTCTGAGATTTCCTTTGCATTTTACCTCAAATTAGCAGGGTAGAACAAGTCACCCAGTGTGCTATTGCAACTGTTCGGACTGCCAGCACAATCTCTGCTTAACCTAGGAGTTTAGAGTCAAGCAGTCCAGTGGCATGTGATTTCCAGGAACTCACTTATTCCATTTAACAGTACAGATGTTGCTGAAGAAGGCACCAGTTTGAAAGCAGAGCCAGGAGAAAGAAAACAAGCAGGACCATTAACCTTGATTCAGTAACAAGTTCCCTGGTCTGAAGACACTTAGTATTGTTTTTATTTTCTGCAGCTGCCTACTTCTCCTCATTGACCATGTAGAGTCCTTGGCACCATCAGTAGCTTGTCTGAATCTCCCCCAAAGTACTTATCATTTATCATTATTACACATGGCAATATTCAGCACCCTGGCTTAGCAGAATCTGATCTTATGCTTCTGTAAACATGTGAAAACATATAGAAATATCGCAAAATGACCCCTTTCTACCAGCAGAAGATACCTCCTGGGCTTTAACCTATCTCAGTGAATAATTCTCAGATTCTCAGTGTGAGGGCTCTTTCACCTCACACAGAGCCCTGCTGCAGGTGTCAAAATGTCACATGCTACTCTTCTCTCTCAATAAGAAATGTCCATGTCCTTATGTCCTCTTGTACAAAGTACTGCAAAACGGAGCAGTAGAATAGCTTTAAGTCAGGATAACTCATGCTGAACAGTATTCGAACAGTTTGTGAAATGAAGATGACCATCAACATCACATGAAACAGAAGAAAAATTGCCTGAGGTATCATGGTGCTCCCACAGTGTTCTTATATTGTAGGTGGTTACTATGCAAATAGAACAACCTAGTAAGTATATGAGAGGGAACAACGGAATGAATTAATATAAGTAGATTAATCATCTCTCAGTCTGTGGGACTTTATTTTGGTGTCGAGGCCCTACAAAACTGAGTTGACACTTTCACTTCTGAATTTGCTCAAGGGTAATCAAGAACATAAATAAAGATCCCAATCTGCAGCTATTTCTATAGTTTTATTTCCCTATTCCAGATTTTTTCAAGTTTAGCAGCCAAAACAGATATGCCATTCAACTGGAAAAAAAAAAAACACAACCAACCAACCATCTGGCTTCTACTTACATGGAGTGACAGAGAACCTTAGGAAAAAATTAGCCTTCTGAAATAATACATTGCCTAAAATATTTGGAAAACAACTAGTTTGGAAAACAACTAAACTGATCCATTTAATGCAATAGCTATGATTTCTCAATATTTTTCACTTCATATATTCACACCCGTCAGTGAAAAGGGTGGACAGAAGAATGACTACCACTGCAATTCAACAACACTTTGCAGTCTTCCTTCTCCCCTTGTCCCATAAAGGGACAAAGTTGAAGAAAATCAGGCCCAGTGTCTTCTGCGCCATAGAAACCAACGTGGATTTTCAGTACCAAAGCAAAGACTTCAGCCGATGTGCATAGACTGCAACACAAAGGCATGCAGTTCAACATCTCAATATCAGCTGAACAGAACGCAGGAGGAGAACACGCTGAATGACAGCTCGGCTGTTTTAGACTCCTTAGCCACTAACAGGCTAACAACAGAAAGGGAGAAGCAGCGTGCTTGCACACAATCAAGAAAACCAGGGGGCTGAACAGTGAAGCTGGAAGCCAGCTGTGCTCTTTTGCTTTCTGATATCCATAATTAGGCCATTTCATTGTCTCTCCTTTTCTTGCTGCCAAACTCCACTGGAAAAGAAAAGTCAGACCACAAACTCAGCCATCCCGCATGGCCTGAGGAGAAGACACCTTTGACATTTTGTCAGAACCACATTCTTACTCTTTGGTTATTTTATCCTCCAACAGCACAAAAGGACCTTAAAATAAGAACAAATTACATTGGCTGAGGGCTGTCTTTGTCGAGAGAAGACTTCTGACCAGTATTGGGTTCTTCCAAAAAGCCTATTTTCAGCCTCCACCAGCACAGCTGCTACAACCCTCTGGATAAGAACAGCCTGTGTGTCACCTCAGCAGTTAATATTGGCTGATATAGAATGATGGGACCACAGCCATATCCTGGGTCCTCCTTTGAGTGTCAACTCCTAGCATCCACACTTGCTGCCAGCTCCCACAATCACACGTACTGCGTGACATACATACAGCAAGTTTCCACTGCATGGCTGTAGGCCTCTAGGGCTGTGTCTTACGCACTTCACTGAAAGATCTGTGCCAACTCCCTGATCCTCCATGTCAGTTCCAGCTCCTCAGCTTGACCTGTGACCCCTCAGCCAGATACATCTGATGCTTGGAGCCATGGAGAAGTTACAGCTTGGTGGATGCCTCACAACAGGACCTTCTACTTAATTAAGTCCCATTAGAAGACGTTTTTCTCTCACTAGTTTCAAGGTCGTCCCCCCCTGCCCCTGCCATATCACCTCCCCATGTAGGCTCACCTGTCACATAACCTGATATGGTACCTAGTTTCTTGACCATCCTCCTCCAGGTTGAAGTATTCAATGACATTTCTGCTTTCTCCCCCCACTCACACTTTCATGTCTACACAGTTTGACCTAATTATCCCTAAACTACTTTACAATTTGCATTTTAATTTAAATAAATCTATTTAGTCAATTTACTTTTACTCTTTCCTGCAGTGGAGATATTTGTCTGACAGGGAACACCAGTATATCACACCCATTATGTCAGGCTCCTTTAATTCCAGAGAGATTCCTTATTCTTTGCTGTCTGTTGCCATTTCGCATGTAATTTAGAAACAGCAGGCAGCAATTGAACTCTCAGATCTCATTAATACCTACTAAGCCCTTCCAACAAGAAGCAGCAGACTGGAGAGTATTCTTCAAGGTGATGGGCAAATGTTGCCAAGTTGCCTTTAATTTATATTGCCACTGATGCTTCTCAATCACATAGATTCTTTTCATTTGCGTATTATACTTGTTCTGCTTTATATGATGTCTCCTCTCGGTGTAAGAACACTATGACAATCTAATTGCAGCCTTTCACACTGTCCAAGTTTATTTTTCAATTCTGGGTTATGGCTGCCTTTAATAATTAACAACTTCATAAATTACATCCACAAAGTACTATCCATACTGAAAGTTTTAACGTGTCATTTATCTTTGTAGCTAATAAAGCCTTTTGCATTAAGACAAGAAGTCATGAAATACATCAAGCACAGTTAGGTCACAACTATTTAGCCAAGAAAGGAATTGGGGAAAAAAAAAAAGGGGGGGGGGGGGGGGAATACTGCTAGAGTAATTTCCATGTTTTAAGAAAAGTCTCAGCTCAACACTCAAACTGCTTACCTCTCCTTGCCAGATTGGGTTAACAGTATTACACATGATCTTAGACCTCTTCTCCTGTCCATGATGAGGAAGTGCTGGGAAGATGCTATGTTTTCCAGGCTGGATGGAAATCTTCAGATAAGGATCTGGATTGAAGAACATTCCTTTCTTCAGACCAAAAGCCTGGAAATCTGAAAGAAGGTAAAGAACCTGATTATTTTTCACATTCTGGGTAGCTCTCTGGGATGTTAGGCGAAGCATATGGGAAACTGGTAAGGAATTCAAATAATATGTTGGGAATATGAAAAAACTCACTATGTTTCTTGTGAGGTAATGTAAAGCCAAACCATAACGATCTTGTGATTTAGGATATACAAATGATTATATAATGAAACTGCAAATTTTACAACCTGATTGTGCAGAGTGATCTGGCTTCTAAATCAATATTTATTCAACTTAAGTGATCTGCTGATTTTTCTAAGGAGCTAAGCACTTGCTCAGCCTGACTCCAGTGGTAGAACTACTCTGAAAAGAGACCTCTTCGTTTAATCACATAGACATGGCATTCAGTACTCAACATATGTTATTCCTCCTAGGTATCAATTTTCTCTTTCTATGAATCTTAGCTTTTAGACCACTTTTTTCTACACGACAAGTCATTTTACATTTTTTCCACTTTAAAATATTTCCTTCCCTGCATAGGTTAACTTTATCTGTAGTAACATAGGAAAAGTCTTGTACATAATGTCCAAATTTTAAGCAGGGCTTTCTAGCTGTAAAACTCCCAGGGAGTGCAATATGAGTTGTGCAGACAAAAAAAAATCTCCAGGCACTTACTTCAAAATTTAGTCATAATGTTCTAAAGAAAGACACAAAGTCTATTACGATTTGTCCCTGTGAAGCCAATGAAATACAAATCAGTCTACAGGTATATCATTAATTTTGGCTAAACAGCTACAAACTAAAGACTCTGGCCTTCTCTTCTTCCAGATATATTTTCCAAAGAAAACTTAGAAATGTAAGCACTTATTCCTATTAGCGAGTTCAGCAGCTAATTTATTATCCACCACTCTTTGCATGGAGATTCTCCTCCTTTGCTTAAAGCTTTATTTCACATAGTGCTACAAGCACTGAACTGCGTTCTGGCTTTCTCTTGCTGTATTGAACAAAGTATTAGTCAAGAGAGTTTCCAAAACTGCTTAGATGTATACCTAAACATTCAGTTTAAACACATATTTTTTTCTTTTAGGCAGGTTTTGAAAACATTAATTTTCACAGCCTTTTAATTCTCTTCTGATTAAAAACCCAACTACTCTGGCAGGTCATGGGAGACCACATAAAACCCTCCAGGCAGGTATTTTAGATAAATCTGAAAATCATACACATTTCATACCAACATCAGCCTTTTTTCCAGAAAACAGCTATATCAAGAACAGGGATAAGATTCACCCAGATGTATTTTCTTCCTTAACATATGGTAATAGCCAACACAATAAAATGTGCAAATTAAAAAGAAACTTTTTTGTCCGGTTGTTTTTAATCATCTATTCCAGCATACAACTCATACTGCAGATATTCAAAAGCTGTTGGACAGATGGTCCTGAAACAGACTGTATTTTAAGAATCTCATTCTTTTGACATTCTCTAACAATTAACAAAAAATAGAGAATATCACTACTAATAGACCATTTGAAAGTACTTTGCTGACAGTATGCACGACCACGGTCCTAGCAACACTATTACAAAAAGAAAATTATGTGGTTCAAACTTATAACTCTGGTTTGTTTTTTTTTTTCCCGAGTGTACAATCTCTATGTAACCAGCACATATCCCATCTATCAATCAGGCCTGCTAAAATTCTATATGGCAAACTCTTTTGCTTTGGAAGTTGTACTGTTAGGAATACATTCCAGAAACAGAAACAAGATTGCAAAAGCACTACCAATGACAAGGCCCAGCAGTGTAATACTGTCAGGCTGCGAACATATGAGAGGAGAGAAAGACCTCTGGGATCTTATTTTCTTTCTCTCTGATGTTTCCTCAAAAGATTCTGAAACTGAAATATTTATTGCTGTATATGTTTCTCATTTTTCTTCCTTCAAAGACAGACTGCACTATCTTTGGGTACCACTGGGCAAAGGAATGGTGTCTATTGATAGAACAGAAAATAACTAGCACTCAATTATATATAGTTATTTATTATGTATCATGAAGAACTGACATATTATAATGACCTACCAGCCTTTTTCCAGTTATGGGAATTGAGCACACTCATGAAGGTGAAGATACTCCTAACACTAGTTAGTAGTCTAATTTTTGTACTTCGATGAGAAAAAATAATTTAACTAAGGTAACAGGAAATTTTACTTCTGTCATTTTCTTGCTTAAATTGCATAGTACGACAAATTTTGTAAACATGTCAGTTAGAAACTTCAATTTTTAATGTCCAAAGCACACAGATGGATAGGAGAAATAGATTTCTCAAGGACAGATATCCCAGTTATATTTACATATCTCACCAAAAATTCTCAGCACCATGAAAAAGCAAGCATCAAAAATACAAAATCTCTAAATAAAGCTACATGGGCATTTACAGATATCCAGAAGTCCATTTAATTTGAAGTGGAACCTATGGATGCTGTAACTAGTTGTAACCAAAGGCTCAGGTACACTCTTACCACTGCTGTGTAACATCCCAACAGAAGAACCCCAGCTATTTTCCTTCCCCAGATGAAAGTATTTCTCTGTTATCTGTATTTTTTTCAAAAAAGGTTCTGAAGATACTAAATACTTAACTGATGGTTTAAGGTTAACTGAATTTAAATCTTTGGTGAAACCAATGAATTCCAGAAGGCTTAGATGGGTCTTGCTGTACACTGTAGTTTTACAGTGTATTTCTTGGAGGCATACAAGGAAATGCTATCAACATAACTCATCTATGCTTTGCAAAGGTGTATTTTCACCCAGTCTCTCAAAAAAAATTAATATACCATATGACAGTTTCCCATTTACTCATAAACCACACTTTAATGTGAAAGAGGTTATATACATCTATCAGTTTAATAATGTCAGGCCATCTATCATGAAAGCTGACAGAAAGAAGGAATCCAGGGGGAGACACAGAAACCACAGACTCCTTCACTGCTGCAAATTTTCAGTAATGATGAGTACATGCATCCTAATCCAGCTAGGCTCACTTTATTGTACAAAAATGGCTTATCCTAACTTCTGCTGCTGATGCTCACAAGTGAATTATGAATTTGTTCCAACATGAGGACTCCCTTCCATATACATACATGGGGCTGTTGGAGCAGGTCCTCTCCTATGAAGCCAGGTTGAGTTGGGGTTGTTCAGCCTGGAGAAGAGAAGGCTCCGGGGAGACCTTATAGCAGCCTTCCAGTACCTGAAGGGGACCTACAAGAAAGCTGGAGAGGGGCTGTTTACAAGGGCATGTAGTGATAGGACAAGGGGTAATGGCCTTAAGCTGAAGGAGGGTCGATTTAGATTAGATGTTAGGCAGAAATTCTTCACTATGAGGGTGGTGAGGCACTGGAACAGGTTGCCCAGAGAAGTTGTGGATGCCCCATTCCTGGAAGCGTTCAAGCGATGGGGCTTTGGGCAACCTGGTTTAGTGAAGGGTGTCCCTGCCCATGACAGGTAGGTTGGAACTAGATGATCTTTAAGGTCCCTTCCAATCCAAACCATTCTATGATATGCGGATCTCTGGGTGTCTGAATGAGACCTAAGGAAGCTCTGCTCTAGCTCACTTGATGCATGCAGCTTCTGTTCCTAAGGTGGGCCATAAACTTCCCTGTCTGCCTTGTAAATGATCATTCTGCAAATCCATTTTCCATACAGCATCACAAACTTTGGGGCACTGATGACTAGATAGTGATGGAGACTATTTTTGTGGCAATCTGGAAACTAGCATGTATTTATTGGCAAAACATGGAACCAGGTGGGGATATCAATTCCGACAGACACAGCTCGAACACATCTGTGTTTTACCATGTTTGATTTTGCCTCAATACAAGTAACTAAGCTTTCAAAAAGTCAGGGGAGAGGTATGATTTGGGGTTGTGAGTCACATTTTGTCATGCTCAGCAAGGACATTCTCTGATGGCAATGATCAGCAAAACTATTGTGAAGATGCTATTTAAGTTTCCTGCAGATGTAGTGAGGTACTGGTCCAGACCCAGGCTTGTAGAAGCATGACAGAAAAGGATGGAGAATCAGAGTGAGAACCAGAGTCCGGAGCAGTCTGGTTTCTAAACCAATTACTTTTAGTCTGGTCATCAATCTATCAGTTCTAAGCTAAAGAATTTAGAAGCTGTTCTCCCCAAGGAATGAGAAGCTTTCACCAATAGTTTTGGAAGAACTTTCCTAGAAACAATACACAATGATACTACGTGCAATTTATAAATGTGTCCCAAGACAAAAACTGATATTAATGTTCTAATACAGTTGGCAAATTCCTTCCAGCAAGGGACAACAAATACTTAATGCCCTTCATGTTTCCAAGCACCATTCAACTGGTCTCAGTAGATGACTTGCAGCTAGCTAAACTGCCACTTGAAGAGAGATCATTAAGCCCCAGTAATTCTACGGTCAACTCACTGAATTCACATTTTTCCTATTTATCATCCTAGTGTTTTCAGAACCAGGAAATGACACATATTCCTCACGAGTAGGAAGTCTTAAAATCCAACACAGCAAAATAACACAGGGGAATTGAGAAAGATACTACATAATGTACACTAGATAACTGACTTGATCAGCTACTGAATGAGGTTCTGCAACTGGTGATATGCAAGAGGTTAAATCAGATAATTAAAGCAGATCTCTCTGCTATCAGAAAGCATGGTAACTACTATTGTCAAAATGACCCTTAGCAAACCTAATACTATTTTCAGTAGTGATTTATACTCTGACTTCCATAAACTGACAACTGATGCTACCTGAATGTCTGGTCTGAAAGCCACGCAAAAATAACTAACAACATTTCTCAGAGAGGTGTGATGAGGATAAATGCCTTAATGTTTGTGAAATATTCAGATCTTCTAGTCATTTGTTCCATAAGAACACTTATAAATAAAGAGTGTGCAAACACATGAAATATGTAAAACATTAAAGCTTGAAAAGTCATGTGATGCAACATATAGCTAGGAGGCATATCACACAAACCTCATGATAACACTTTCTAAATATACCAGCCAACAGAATGGTTTCAAGGGCTTTCAGCGAATGCGTTATACTGCTGCTAAGCCATGAACCTTCAGTGAAGCGGCTGCTACATCTTGGGAAGCTTAGCACATTTCTTCTTTCTGTACTTCGTGCGAGAGAGAGCTCTGACACTTTCAGCCGCCTTATCAGAAGTGTGACA